AGTTACTTGTATGTGCCTGAAAACCAGGCAGCCTTGGGTTTTACGTGACAAACTGTTTCAGCAGCTCACTAATTTCTAGCCTGTCTGCTGCAGGGTAATCAGTGCAATTCCCAGGAAATCCATGAAGGTTTTAATGAGCCATGACATGTTGAGTGCACAGTCAGCGTGAAGCAGTGCAGTGTGAGGAAGCTTTTGGCAAAGGCTGATGCTCACAGGTCCTGGCTCCTGAGGAGCCAGCAGCTAATCCTGACACTTGCCCAGGGAACTCAAATATTGGGAACTCTGTACCACCTTGCTTCATCTCTTTCACTGTACAGGTGTTGTATCCATAATCTACCTCTGATAAATAGATTTGCCAAATGAGTTTCCCATACTGGCTGATTTAGGATATTCTGTTTAGGTGTTTCTGCTAGAACACTCTGGTTCTTTATTAGAAGACAGGGTAGTCCCTAATTTTGCCAAAGTTCAATTTTTCCAAAAGTCACTGATCTTTAAGGGTGTCTGTCTCATTGTTTTCTGGGTCTGTGGATCAAAGCCTTCACTTAGCTGAAGTGATCATGACTTTTTGTATATGCTCCCTCTTGTGGTTTTGTAAGTAGCATAAAATCTGAATCTGTTCTTCTGAGATTTAGAGCTACATTTTTATACTAAATTATTGAGAGATATTTAGGAAGTGAAGCTACATGCTGATGCCCCAGGTCCATAGCAAGCTGGCAGACTCATCCCATAGATAAACATAGATAACAAAATTGGAGAGAGAGCCCAAGGAAATTACATTCATTTTGGATTTCAGCATCCTAAATAACACTAACAATAAATAATTATTTAATAATTAAAATTTAAATAATATTATAGAACTATGAAAATTATTATAAAATAAGAAATAATAATTTAGTACTTCCTTACTGGGAGCAACTTCATTTTTAATTTGGTAGTCTAGTGTTTTGAATGGCCATGCTCAAACTTTAAAGAACTTACTTTAATCCATTCTAAAATGCAAGTATCATATTCTTAAAAGATCAAAGACAAGAAAATTTAGTGAACTAAATTAAGCTAACTCTTTTTCAGTCACACACCTCTTCAAATCCAAATTGCAGCACTCCGTAAGCCAAAATAAGAGGGAATGGAAAATCAAGCAAAATTTATAACAGGAAGGATGTCTTTTATTAGGTCAACTAATGTAGCTGAAAATAAGAAACAGGCATACTTTTGTGTACACGAATACTGACATGCACAGAGATGAAACTGGAATTGATTTTTGCTAAACACCAATGCATGTATTAAAATGAAGAGAGAAGAGACTGCTACTGCCAGATGGCCTGGATTTTTAAAATTCTTTTTCTGAAGTGCTGCTAGTATCATGGGTGAACAAGACTTCCCCATGGCACTCTTTGAATTGCCTGGATTCTTTTAACAGTCATTTCTGTGAATTGAAAGCTTGCTGAGTAGTAACTAAAGATTTTGGGGAAATGGGTGCTGGGGAATGATATAGTGAGCACTGTGATGAAGATAGCCCAGCAACATGATGCGGTGGCTTTCAGGAGGCTCCTCCCTTCCTCCCCCCCTTAAACCACACACAATAACACATCCTAGGTGGTCGAAGAGACTTTGCCTAGAAGTACAAAGTGCCTGAATTGTACATGTGATTGTTACACTGGAATAAAAGCTGGAGCTGGAACAAGGGCAGATCCCACTGCTTCAGTATTTGTACTTTTTGAAAAGCCAATTTGGCAAGCAGCATAACAAGAGCCTAACAAGTGGATGGACATATGGGGAGACAAAATAATTGTGCATTAGGAAGGGGGTGCAGATGTGATCTGCAGCAAGGGCGTAGCTCCATATGGCTCGTTGCTGACCTTCGGTTGGTGCCTGAATGGCCGTACGCGGTGCAGGTCGCGCCGTCGGAGCGGGGCCCAGCCAGCCAGGGCTGGATTCACACACATCATCTGCCTCCTGGAGCACAATAACGCAGCTACCGACAGCTGTGGTGCCTGAGATCATCCTGGTACTGCTGCACCTTGCAGCTCTGACACCTTCCCTGAAACACTCCGTGAGTTCCATGCTTCTGGAAAAATGTATATCATTACCACTACTAAAGTGGTGGTGGTTAATCCCTGTTAATCCTCTGTGCAGAAAGAGCAGTGATAAGTGTGCAGGATACTTAATTTCTGTCTGTGTTTCCAGGGTTTAAAAGCCCTTATATGCCTTTGGAAAGGAAATGACTTAATTCTTTCAAGCAGAAAATATTAAAAATCCTGTGGTTAGCATGTTTATTGGAGAAACATCATGGATTTTTTTTTTATTTTAATAAACTAACCCCAGAGGGATGTGCATGTTAGGTAGAATAACAGTGGCACTCTGTTATAAGGAGACTGTGATGTGTGGAGGGCTTAATTCTTCAACCTAGAAATCCTTTGACAAAATACACTTGATAAGTCCAAACTATCACTTATGATTTATTATCATTTGTTCTTCCCTTTCCCTTTTCAGCTGTTAATCCTGACACTGACTTAGGGTTTGGCCCCATTTTATCAATGGCTGCTTGAAGTGCTCAGGAGGATTTGCTCCAGTATTCACCAGAAGTCTTTGATATATGAGATTGTAGGCTAACACTGATAATCTTTTGTGAGGAAGTGTCACAATACATACATCGATCATCCAAGCCTCTATCTGTCAGACTCTCCCAACTCAACCGTATTTTTCATGACACAATGCAGCGCATGGCCTTTAAATTACCCATCTGTCTGACAAATCAGTGAGTGTGGCAGAAACTGGCAGCAGTTTGACGTCGCCTATCACTTTAACTGAAGTGAAAGTAATGCAAACAGATTTATGGGATCCCCTTTGATTATAGACTATGAATATATTTGGAATTGATGTTTGTGAGAGAGACACAGAGGGGCAGGAAAGGCTTGTAGGCAAAAGCACTAGTGTTGGGTTTGCAGCTTTGCATTTACTATGAGGGAGATTGTTCTGTCCTAAATTTTTCCCTGCCCATATGGTGCATCTCATCTGAGCACCTCTGACCTTTTTCCTTTTTCATTTTTTTTTCTTTCATCCTGAGTGATTATTTAGCTGCTCTAAATTCATAACTTTATAAATATCAAGGCTGAGTTTCTCAAATGAATTTGATGTACAGCTGTTAAATGTATCTGTAACGTTCATTGCATGTCAGTTAATATGCTGAATTTCCAAGTGGGCTCTGAATACAGTAGAGCACAGCAGAAGACAAATACCTGGCAAGGATGGCTGCTTGCTGCAGTGCTGGTGAGGGCTTGAGTTCTGTGATAGAGTAGAGCAAAGCATTGACTTGGCTTTTTTGATCCAATGGTTTATCTTTGCAGAAGTAACCAAGACCTTGGCTTTTGCCTTTTGCCTCCATGCAAAGGCTCTGGCCCCAGTATAGTATTGCCATGAACCTGGTTCATAACCAAAGTCTGGCATAGCAAGCCTGGATTTTTAGGAAGAGAATTGTATCCTACTCATTGACACTGTTGTTTAAGTGTAGTGGTGAATTTTGATGCTGGAAGCTGTGACAGAACTACTGAGTGTGTCTCGTGTGTAGGCAACAACGTGCCCATTCAAACAACTCGTGTCTGCAGCTGAGCTCTGGAAGCCCAGAGCCATTCAGTCCAAGTAAGTGGTAGGGTGGTACCCTTTGGGTTTTAGGACATTTGCAAAATCATTTTCTGAGCTCTGGAGCTTACATAAGCTTCTTTTGAAATGCTGCTTGCCTTTCTTCAGAGAAGCTGTAGACTTAAGTGATTCCCCTCTCTTTAAAGAAATAGTTTTCATGAACAAAGGTGCAGGCATTGGAAGTCACTCAACAAAACAGTTGAAATTCTGCTGTGATGGCTTTTGCCTAGTTTCCTGAGTAAATTGTGATTTGTGAGTTTGCCACGGAAACTCAGCCCATTTTCTAAACACCTTCAGAGTTTTCTCGTGCCAGACAGCACTGAGCCAAGAGAATCAGTGACTGATGTGGGTTTTTGTATTCCTGCTGCCACAGCTATTGGTAGATAAGTTTTCTATATTTGGAATCCTTCTCCTAAATTTGCTCCGGGGATGTTGTCGTAACCTCGAGCTGAATTTAGTTCGTTGATTCTAGCGTGCAGCCTATCTGAGGTGCCTCACTGAGGTTGCCATGTAGCTTTTGCATTACCTAGGAGACTCTGGCTGCTTCCCACACGAGAGGCTAGGTGGTCTTTGGGGTCTGTCTCTCTCTCTCTCTTCCTGTCTGGAGCTTGGTTAGTGGGAACCTATGCAAAGCTTTATTTTGGCTAAAGGAAACCCTGATGTATGTGCATTTAGCCCCTAGTTGACTGGGACATCCCCAGTGCTTGCTTTTTTTTCAAATCCAAGCTACTCCTGTTTTAAAATTTCCACACACAGTGCTTCCATCAGGTCTGCCTGTCTGCATCCTGCATCCATCCTGAAAACACACTCATTGGAGAGCCCTCTGTGCAAGTCCCACACCTTGTTGGTGTTTCTGAGGGGGGCCACATCTACACTGGAGCACAGAAGACACATGTACTATCCCAGTGTAATGTTCAAAGCACAGACATCAGCCAGGCTAGGATCTCTTTGAAAATGAGAGCTATGGATTGTCTTTGCCAAATTTGTTGCTCTGGTATAATCCTGTATGAGTTTTTTTCAAGCACAGCTTTGCAGTTGGGGATCCCTCCAAGGCAGGCATGACTTGGGTGGAGCTGTTGTTTTAGGCATGCTCTGCTCTAGTAGCACAGCAGAGAGCACATGTGAGCACAGTCCCAATGTGGTCCTTTTTGGTTTAAGCCAGTCCTAGGCTGTTCTCTACAGGCAGTAGCTCTGAAATTCAAGGAAAGTACAAGCTTTAATACATGATAGTTTGAATGTAATTTCTAGGACCCAGTCAATGATACTGCATGAAATGTAGCCTGACCTCTCTGCTTATAGTACCTTTGACTAGCTACGGAGTAAAAATACCTGCTTTTTAATAATTAACTTTTCTTCACCTCTAGGGAAGATGCATAAACTTCACCCGTGTGAAGTCAGATGGGACCTCTGCCCCTTACAGCCCACCACCGAAGCTGCCATTGCGCGACAACGCTCCCCTCAACAATGCTCCAAGGAATCCTTCCTCTCCTGTGTCTCTGCAACCTCCTTCCAGGCAGCCACCTCCTGGACCACCTCCATCCCGAGCCCCTCCTGGACCTCCTCCTTCACGCCCACCCCCACAGCCCATGGCTTAGAGTGCAGCAAAACCTGATCGACACATGTCTCTTTGCTGAACACAGCATATTTATTGAGTATTGGTTTACAGTCAAAGATATCTGAATTTGTTGCTGGTCAGCAAAAAGAAAAAAAAAAAAAGGAAAAAAAATATTGCCAAGTGTCAATTTTAGTGTATGAATATATTTATACCACACGTGCTGAGTAAACATTCAGTGGAAAGATTCAGAGCTATGGGGTATAGAAACAAACCAAAATTATCATCTAGATACAGTAGCAGCTTTTGTGTGTATACTTCTGGAGATCTATTTAGATAGGACAGTTGTCTGACTTGGTGTGTCAGATCATTCATTAATAACTGTAGCCGGTACTCGTGCATCAGTGGCTTTGATAGCTGCCGCCTACAAGTTGGTTCAACATAGTTCTTTGAGGAATTTGCTTTTTTTTTTCCCAACAGTACTGCATCCAGATGTTAATATGGATCAACAATTGCAAAGATAACTTTCTGCCTTTGGTTCTGCAAGTGGAATTTCCATGGAAGTTTTAAGAGGCCTATAACAGTAATGAGGTAACATAAGACTATGTGCCAATAATCTATCATAGAAGGGGGATATTTTTTCCCCCTGGAAAACCAGTTTTGAGCCTGCCATCTCTGCATATGTTTAGACATGGTTGCATAGGATAACCACTGAAGGTGAGATACTCTGTCTAAAAATCCAGATTTTGTACAAGACTTGAGTCCATATTTGTCCCAAGTTCAGAGGAATTTTGTGGAAAAATTTTGGTTTGGTGTTTAGTTTTTTATTTACAGAAAGAATAGCCCAAAAGGAAGCAAACATACATGGAATTTGAATGTAGATGCTGTAGTAAGCAAACAGAATGTGTTATTTATATCAGCAGCATTGAGGGACTGATTCTATTGCTATTTGATTGGATAAATTTCCTTTTGATGTTACTGCCAAGAAGAATTCGATCCTTTTGTGATTAAAACATAAATTCCTCTTTGAGCAGCTCTTTCTTTAGACAGTTCAGATCCCACTAATATGTAACCCTGCAGTCCACCTGTGGCTGAGAGGCATGGTGTGAAGAGTGAGTATGAGCTTCTATCCCTGTTTGACATGCTTGGCTGCTCTCCCATGCCCTCGATTCTGGGTGTCATCAGAAGCCGATGTGAGCGCCCACACAGAGGTGGAAATTTATGACGCGGGACTGGGCCAGCCCATTATTAGTGTTCACTGAGCAATACCTGAGTGGGTTGTGCCCAGAGCATTCCCTAGTGAATCAAAATAACACCTGAGCTTGCTTTTTCTCCACCACTGCCTATTGTATTGGAGAGGGAACCTATGCCAGTCTGCTTTGGCACTGGCTGTGTTTTTAGGATAGTTGTAGAAATAATGATACGTTGCATTATGACACAGCATATACCTATTTCTCCATCTGTGTGTGGGTGTGTAACACATCACAGTAGTTATTGGCACATAAGTCTAAGATAAAACACTAACTGTATTGTGCAGTTGCTTCAGATTTAAGACCTTTTCATGCAGTTGTTGCAGGCATATAAAGTTGTACTGGTACCAACAGAAATCAAGCTTAATGTTTCCAGTGGGAGGCCCACTTGCAGAACAGCACCAAGCTCTCATCAGTCTATGCTGATCACTGTGACATGCCGTGTGTATACAGCTGAGGCTGTCAAACATGACTCAGAAGAACCACAGAGCCTCTTTCTCCTCTTGCGCTGCTCTGCTCTCTTGAGCTTAGCTCTTACCTCATGTACATTGGTGCAGGTAGTGGAATCATGGTTGTGAGTGCCAGCTGGCCTTGGAGCTGTTCCTAATTTAGGCCAGAGCCAGCAAAGCACTTCTGCATGTGTTAAAATGTCCTGCAGGTCAAGAGAAACTTCCTTATGCCCAAGTGCTTTGCAGACCTGTGACTTCATTGTGATCAGAAAGGAGAATTGGGATGCACTCAACCCTATCCTCATTCTTTTTAGACACTTGAATAGGGTCTGCATAATTTGGTTCATGAGAATGGATTTCTGTTTGGAGGGGAAAGAAGAGTATGTGTGTGTGTGTGTGCCTGTGCTTGTGTCTGGGAACTGCAGGGTTTTGTTTGGTTTCTCTTGCTTTACAAAAATTGCTTGAGAGTTGCACTCCTGTGAATAGAAAGGCCTTTTGCAGCCAGTGTGACACAGAGCCATTGCCTATCTCTGTTTCTTTTCAGCTGAAAGGTGACACTAAAACAAGTCCTACTTTCCACTGCAGTTCTGGTGAAACTGTTTTTACCCCAATGAAAGGAACTGGATGACTGCAGTGAGAGGGCAGGAGGAAGGGCGGGGGAAGATGCTTTACAAGCAGAGATCATTGATGGGCTGGTAATATGGAAACCCTGAAATAATCTTGCTGGGTCTAAGACCATTTGTAGTGTGTATGTACAGTAAATCTAACAGCTTCTCACGTTGGTTGTGTGAGGATAATTAGCCAGCAAATGCTAACTAAAAATTGAAATGGCAGAGAACAATAAAACTTTTACCCATGCCAGGACAAAACAGGGCATTAGAGCTTTAACTTCTTGTGGGGCTGCAACAGACCACTGCTCTGTAGATGCTGTCTCTTATCAGCAGGCAGCAGTGAGATTGAAGCAGTGACTTCTTGGGTCAAGAGTTAACCTGAGCTAATGAAAAAGCCTGGGAGCCAGATTTTGTCTTGTCTTGCACCTGTAGAGGTCTTGGGAGAGGTGAGTAGAGGTGGCGATTTGCCCTCACGTTCATGTTGGTGGAATTTGACTCCCTACCAGTGACAGCAGAGGTGTTGGCTTAGGCAGGGCTTGTCACAGTCATGCATCCAACATGCCTGTTGTTTGCAGTTGAGGAGAATATTGGTCTTTGCTGGAATAGTCAGTCTTGCAAAGATAACACATACTAACAGTTCTGTACAACTTGCAAGTGGAGCAGGAATAGGAACATCTTAGGCTTTACCAAATCCCAGGTGAATGGATTCATGTATGATAAAGCAGGGACCACCATGGATTTGAGAATTAGATTTGGCATAAGTGGAGTTTCCTGCTTTCTCACTCTAAAAAAATTAGGCATTTGGTGTGTAACTCAAGTTTTGGCTGCAGCCTCTGTGACAGGAGCACTGCAGGTTTAATTTGCTGGTAAAGCAGGAAGGGAAAGTGAACTTTTTTGCCTTAAACTGAATTTTCTTTGCAAAGGTGGGAGCAGTGAATATGCTGCACTGGCTACAGAAAGGCCTTTTGGTTGTATAGAAATGTACCCATTTGCAGTGATTTAAGGCACTGTAGCAGCACAGTAGGAGAAAGTAGTTGTTATTTTATCGTCTGTTGAGCTTGATCCTTACCTGGTATAAATCAAAACAGACCAACTGAAATCAAGGCAGTAATAATTGGTGTCCATCAGCTGAGAAATGTCTGAAAATAAAGGGACAAAATCCCTCTAACAGGCCTGTTGTTTCAGTGTTTGCTTTGGCATTCTTGTATATGCCAATTGTGATTACAGTAATTACACTGCTAAGAAATGTTCTCATGTGGGAATGATTCCCATGTATTTTCCAGTGTATAGCACCATTTGACACTTGCAAGAAGTGAATATCTAATGCTTCCCCAAATCCTAGAGGAGTATGTGGATTCAGGAGACTTTGGTCTCACACTTAGTACAGATGTGAAATGACACAAGGTGCAGAGCAGCGAGGAGGGAAATTCAGTGTGTTTAAACCTGATGCAGAGCCACATTGATCAAAGCATATTTATGGCCATTTTTCAAGTTCAGTGCATGTGTTGCCATCTGTGGGAGTAGCCTACAGAGCAGACGGTCCTAAATAGAAAAAAGGGAAAAAAAAAAAAAAAGGAAAAGAATCGGCTTCTCATGTGAAAGAGCAAGCATAACAATGAATGACATTATTTTGTGAACTGTACCAGTTCAAATGCATGTGCACCTGGTGCTCCTAATGCTTTTTGGTCCTGTTGGTCTTCAGACAACATGATCAGTAATATGCTTTCTCTCTTTAATCATTTGCTGTTTTTATTGTTTTTACTTTGGGTTTTTTGTGGTTTGTTTGGGTTTTTTTAAGAAACATTTCACTGAGAAAACAGCCCTACTTCTGTAAATATAGAGTTTAATTTGGAGGAGACAGCACACTTCTGGATGTTACTGCTGGACAGTTATTTATTAACAGGGGCTCAAGGTGAATAAATAGAGGTGGCTCAGGATACATGCATGCAAGTGTGATAATGCAGTATAGCATTTTCAGTTCTCTGTAGTTTTGGGGCAAGGGGAATTTTTGGGTCATCCTAGTTTTTTAGAAGTTTGTTACAGATATACCTTTGAATAATGCAATAGAGATTCCTAGCATATAACAGTGCTTGAACAAATGTGTAGATTACGATAGATTTTTTTTATTTGGGAGATGAGGAGAAGGGTTGTGAGGGAGAAATGTTTTAGGAAATGTTTTAGTTTTTATGGGGGCAAAATGTAGTGTATTCAATTTTTTAAATTTTTGTTTGTTTAGAAAGATGTAGTGTTTTCAGAAACAGTGGGGATGTGGGCTGATCCACAGCTGGGGCATGGAGATGTGGAACAGAGGAAGCAATAAGATTTTTGAGGGATAGAGAAGCTTTACATGGGGGTGTGGGTTTGTTACTGGTACATGTGGTACAAATTTCTGTAACTGACATGCTGCTTCCATGTTATAATCATGTAACTTCATGCATTTTAGGCACATGCTCCATTTTTTCTGAGAAAACCTTGCAAATGTAATGCCTGCATGCAAATGTGGGAGATGTAGCCAAAATCTTGTAATCCAACATAATGTAGTCTTAATGGCTTCAGAATCAACAATAAAAGTGCTTACTGGTTAAACACTATAAAGAATTTTATTGCAGGGTCATTTTAAGAGGTGATAAGCTTCTCTGTATCTTCTTTCTAATCAGCTCAGCCACCTAATGGTCAGGAGAACAGTGTGGAGTTGTGCTGTCAGAATTACCATCCTTGACTTGCTGCTAACTTAATTAGAGACAAGAGTATGTTCTGTGCCTCAGTTTCATGTTTCTAGGCTGGGAATTTCGATCTTTGTCTAATTCAAAGGTAAGCCATTGTATGAAACCAAGTAGAAATGCTGAGTAAATTGAACTGGACTCGGGGTTCAGACATTCATTAACCCATGGGGCAGAGCCTGAAATAATTGCTGCTATCTTAAAGAGGAGTCATAGAGCGCAGAGACATTAAGTAAAATCCATGCAAGATAAAATGCTAGAGCGCAAGACTTTAACAAAGAGAAATTCCATGGGAAATCCTACACTTCTGAAAACACTGGAGTCACCAGGCTTCAGACAGAACTACAGATTTTCAGTCCCTCCCTGCTTCTGATGTTTCCTCTGTATCTGTTCCAGCCCCATTGAGGAGTGGGGGTGGAGGGCTGGTGGACATAAGGCAGGCAAGAAAGTCAGCAGAGGTAGGCCACAAAAATCTCCAACACAAGCAGGCTGCAATTATGGGTAGTCAAGGCTGCTGCAAAGCTGCTGAGCTGTGGTGTGCACTCAGTGTGCCCAGCACGGCAGCCACAGCCCTGTGTGCAAGGGAAAAGGAAGCCGGTCTTTGCACACACATAATCCCCTGAGCACATGTGAGCTTCATCTGCAAAAAAAAAAACAGTGGGCGCCGAATTTTGGGGCTCTGGTAGCCACGTGAACTCATTGCAGCAAAGCAGGTGGGAGCTGCGTGGTGCCCTCTGGGCAGCTCCAACTGGCTGAGCTGCTAATGGGAATTGAAACCCTCAGCCTGGAGCTGTGCTGTTCCCTCATGGAGGCAGGGGCTCTGACAAAAAGCCTGGCTTGCTCTCACTCTGCACCCCAAGCTGGCAAGACAATAGTCACCCAGTATGGTTTTGTGGCCTTCGCTCTTTTTTGTTCTTCCATCTGCTTCTTACTCCAAAAGCAGGCTTGGGCTTTTGGAAGAGATCAGATAAACAAAAGTGGTCCTGCAGCCAAGGCTCTAGGCATTTTTATGCTGCATTAACAAAAACCCTACATTGGCTGCAGCTGTGGCTGCTTAGGTTTACACATGCCTGAGACAACAAAATTCAGACTTGACCTGAACTTTCCCAGAGACTGGGAATGTGCAGATCCAGGTCTTTGGTTATAGAATTTTCTACAAATAGCCTCTAGTGCTGATTTAGAATCTTTCATCAAATGTATTTCACAGTCTCAGGAGTGGCATTTATATGTTCACATATACCAACCTCTACCCTGTCTGCGTGGAAGTCAACAACAAGAATTTTTTTGGCTTCAGCAACCTGAGCCAGGAATGGAAAAAATGCTCTTTTCCCCTCTCTTCTCATTCCTTGAGAAACCACAGGCAGAGCATGTTGCCCATGCTGGAAGTTATCTGGCCTTTGCTGTGTGAATGTGCTTTGCTCTTTGGGATAGGACTCATCTGAAGTTTCATCTGTTTCTATGACAAATTTCCCCTTTTCCTGCACATCAGAGTACCTTCCTTTTTACTGCACAGGACGCTGCACTGGAGTTTCCTGGCCAGGTAACATCACTGATTTCTGACTGCAGCTCGAACTGTGAGGTTATGTATGATATGAAAAAGTTCTCCAAAAGAAAGCTTTCCTGCTGAAAACTTTTGCCTGTGACATAGATTGAGAAATCTTTCCTTTTAAGCTTTCAGAAATGCATGATTGCATGGGTCAATACTTCACTGAAGGTCCTTAGATAAGCCCATCTGTGTCTCAGCCACAGATGGTGAGTGAGAGGTGACTGAAGTGAGCTCTCCTCACACCAGCCTATCCCTGCCATAGATCAGCAGCCTTGCCCTTCATCCACACTGACATCCTGGATCTTGCTGAGCCTTTGGGTCATGATTCTGGAGCTCAGACTCTTTCTTCAGGGTAGAAACAGGTGCCCTGCAGAACCATCCTAGGTCCTGTGACCCAGAACACCTCACACTTAAAAGTGTACACTTTCCCCTCTAATGGCAGAGGGAAAAGATTAAGAGCGTGAGTTTTCCCAGTGAACACAGGAGCACAGCTGTCAAGCCATAGTCATGCAATAAACACCCATGTGTTTGCCACAGGGTACCAAATACAGCAACTCTTGCCTTACTCATCATGCCTCATGCATTGTGAGGGTAAAATACTTAGTGCCCTCAAATTTTTGTAGTCTCTGTTTTTTTCAGTACATAGAAAGATGTTTTGAGGAGGAAACAGGAGTCTCAAGATTCGCCTTCATCATCGAAGACATAGCTGGCCAATCAAAACCAAAGGAAAAATATGTCAAGCATATGTGGCAGCTCAGTCTCTTCAAAAACACAACTGTTCCTGCTTTGTGCCTCTTTCCTTTTGAATCAAGAATATCTTAGCTCTCAGTGAATGTGCGTGGGGGTAGAGGTTGGTCCTAGTTCAGCTTTTTTTGTTGTTATTTTTGTTTTGGTTTGTTTTTTTGGTTTTTTTTTTCCTGGATTTCTGTTGCACCTCTGTAAGGTTTGTTTGGATCACCAGTGATAAAGGGATTTCAACATATCAGTGAGGCTGTTGTTTCCAACTGGGAAATGCTGCAATGTCCTCAGCAGCCAGTGCCTTCAGAGGTAGTTAAAAACCCTTGAAAGCCATCAGCACAATGGTAGACTTGGCTCTGCTATAGCTCACCAGGAAACTCCAGCTCCAGGAATGCAAACAGCCTGTACCTGAGGCATCAGGAGTGACAGTGTCCTATCTACCAGGACAGTGAGAGAGACTCTGGTGACGTCTGTCTCTTCCCAGGCTAGCAGGTATGGTCAGGGACTACTTGTGCCTTGAAGCACTTACTCTTCTCTATGGAAAAAAGTGGGCAGGGAGAAACTCTAACTCTGCAGGCTCTGGAATTTCCCAGCTCTCTCTCTCTGTTTCTGCCAATATTAATCATTTGTATTGCCGAAGTAACTCACAAATGAAAATGTGAAATATCTCAGTTCCCTCCAGGCCATACACAGGAGCAAAGGAGCAGCCCTGCCTCTAACCCAGGCCCGCTGGACCCAGCATCACTCTGGGAAGAGAAGGCAGGATGCTCCCAGGTGTTCTCAGGAAGTGTCTCTGCCATGGTCTCCTGGAAGTTCTGTCTGGAGGCTGAGGTTTTGCATCCCTCATGGATCCTATTCTCCTTTTCCTGAGCCATGCAGGGGTGGTGCTTCTCTGCTACCCAGGGGTCGGAGCTGCAGCCTGCTGCTGCCAACAGGGGCTCTGAGGGGTTGATGGAGCACCTTGGGGCTCACAAACTCTGCACAGTTGTTTCTGTGGAGTGTCTTTCCTTCCCTCCTGTGAGGTTGGTGCAGGCCAATCAAGTTATGGCTGTTTCTCTGCCCTCCATTTGTGCCTCAGTTTCCCTTCCTGCAAGGACAGAGCCCAGCTCTGGCTGTTGGAACACTACAGCTCAGCCCTCCTGGCCAGGCAGTTTCAGCAATTGTAGCTATGGTGACTGCTCTCAGACTTAGCAGCTGACAGCTTTCCTCTCTGGGTACCTTTGCAGCAACCCCCAGGGCAGAGGCAAGAGACTGGAGAGGCTCCTGGCCAAGGAGCCTCTTATGTTTGGCATTCCAGTATTTTTGGTAGTTCAGGAGCAGCCCTAACTTAACAGCAGGAAATAAGAGTAAAACTATCCTGTCAGTGTGTCTACAGCCAAGCAAAGTGCATGATGCCTCTCCGCCAGGGCTGGCCTCAGCAGTCGTGGCCCCAGGGCAGGGAAGCAATACTTCATGTCTCTTTGCTTTTGTTTTCCTTTGGCAAGATTTTAAGATGCCTTTTCTACATCCTTCAAGAGAGATCTGGATACCCATTGCAGTGTTACCTGTGTGACTGGCACGAGCACACTGACTTGAGTGGGGTGCTGCAATTCTGCAGCACTGGGAAGAGAACCAAAATCAACCAAAAGGTCATGGATGTTGCTCAGCTCTGACATAAATAACTTCACTGCCAGCAGTGAAGTGTATGTCACTGCCTTGCTACAAACAGCTGGACTCAGACACATCCAGGAATGTGAGCAATTTTTTCTTTTTTGCTTTTCTCTTATGTTGCTCTGTGTGAGTCTGCCTCCATCACAGGGTCATTTCAAACAGCAGGACTGCATTTAATTGTGTACAAACACCTGTACTTTTTCCATCAAGAAGCACACAAAAACCGATTCCCATACAGACAGCTAGGTAGATGCACAAAATACTTCACAGCCAAGCATTCAAAGACTTGCTGAATGCTGCCTACCACCCTCTGCTGGCATGTGAGCTCCTGGCATCTGTCATGTCCTCATCAGACCCAAGAGAGCTGACCATTTTTATTCAGAGGGTGCTTACTTTGTTGGCCTTTGGGGTTAAACAAGTACAGCAATTGCCTGCTTTGTGTGGGGAACGGTTGTTAGAGCAACTGGGAGGAATTCCTTGGCACCAGCACTAGCTAAGAAAGGAATGAGAAGAAAAATGCTCAGCCAGAGTCAGTGCCAGAGCAGAGGCAGGGCAAGTGTTGGTGCCTTGCCCTGACTCTCCCACCTGCAGCAGAATGTCCTTGGGCAGCAAAGCTGCTGGGAAAAGCCAAGTCCACACCCTTCACTAACCTCTGGGCAGAGACTCCACAGCACAGGCACCACTGACACTGAGGTGCTGAGGAGAATCTAGCCCTGAGTTTTTACCCTTTTGTTCCTTTTGTAATTGAACACGCCCCACAACATGCAATATGAAATTTCTTTTATGCTTGGCTCATAGCTGCTTACAGTGCATCTTCAAAAATTAAATTGTGACAATGATTTTCAAATGGACATAAACCTATTTTGGGGTCATTTTCACTGTGAAGTATGGTTCAAAGGCACCAGAAGAAATGGCAGGGTGAGTAGTGACCTGACAA